GGCCACGGCCGGCCCTTGCCGGCCGTCCGACAATAACTTCCGAACAAATTGACCTCAAATAACATGTCATGACACATGAGCTGACTTATTACTGAAGACATGAAAATTTGCTCAACGGACTGAACTTGGCCGCGGCGGACGCACCGTGCGCCGCCGACGGCGTGGTGCCGTTTTACGACCGAATCTCATATATTCTCGGCAATTTAAACTTAACTGAAAGTGATTAATGATCTACTGAATAAATCACATAAAAATGCTCGAGAAAAGGAACTTAACATACTGAACAATCAAGTACGGCCCGTGGTGCGCTACGTGCGCAACCACGTCACCTTTGGCCGCAACACCGCAAACATGATTAATCATCCGAACACTTAAGTTAAACCAAACATGATTTTTCATATAAAGGCTAAATATGCGAGAATAAACATGATAATATCGGTCAACAACCGTTGGGAATTACCTCCGATTAAGCCCGAATGACTAATCTCTTCGAATTCCCGTACTCGGTCGTTACCCTCCGCTTGCGTGCGTGCGGTCTGTGCGCGATGGATTGCTACCACGCGACGGGTGCTAGCGTGCGCCTGATTGTCGTGCGGTGCGCTGTCTGCCGTGAAATACTACTGCTACGCGTGCGATCACTTGATACTTACGATAGCCTACAGTGCGCGGACTTCTTGCTGTGTGTGCGCGATGGCTCGGACGCGCAATGGCTCGCGGAATACTCTCGGCAATAGCTTACGAACAACACTCAAAATTTCACAAAATTTCACTTATCTCTCGCGGGACTTAGCACATATAAGCTGAACTTAGGTGTATATAAAAGATGGAAAAATTTTCCCACTCCACATCCTTATATACGACCACCGAAGGGAAATGTGGTGATGGAGTGACTATGTGGTCAATTATGGCTTAGGACACTTGGAGATAATAAACCCACTTAAGCTAATGACTAAGCACTTAATTAGTCTTATAACATGCCAGGTTTAAGCTACTTCAAAATGAAGAAAGTTGGACAAACCCACTAACTTGCCTCATTTTTGCATACGGCCTTTGAAGATAAATTCCGTACGGCATTTTGGAATAAACTTAGAAAGGTCCGAATGATTAAATGACTAACCTTGGGATTAATTGATAATTAATCACTTAATTATGTTTAATTATTCAATTAAACATAATGCTTAATTACCAAAATTATTTCGAACGTAAACGGTACGTCGAAAATAATTTCCGGTAATTTCGATTGAACTGACTGAAAATAATTAATTCCGAAGATTAATATCGGAACTAAAAATATAATTTATACTGAAATTGACGGGATATTACAATCCTCCCTCCTTACAAAATTTCCGTCCTTGGAAATTCAAAACATAGCTGAAAATACATGAACTATGTACATAGAACAAGAAAATGTGTACATCAGAACTGAAAATCTGAAAAACGAGCGCGAATATCGGACTCCTCCTCCCAAGTAGCTCCGTGGCGATCCCACTGAATACGTACGAGGGGAATATCTCG